TCTCTGTCACTCAGCAACCTCTCCTCCAATAGCCACAATCCAAATCCTCACCCAAAGTTACAGTGGGTATTGTATATGGCCCCCAGTCAGTCTCCCTCCTTTCTCAAGGAGATCAGCACCTGGATCACTGTCTTCCTTTCCTTGTCAACTCCTGCTTTTGTCCTAAGGGACTTCATTCACACTGATGCTCTCCCTAAATCCCTAACCTACCAATTCTTTGCCCCCTAAAATCCCACGTCCTACTCCTTCACTCCACTTTGGCCACACATAGAGAGGGATGGTTCTATTCACTGGATCTCATCATTATCTACAAGTGTATCACTTCATTAATTAGAAATTGTGACATTCACCTAACTGACCTGTCTTCCTTCAGGCCCCAACTCAAACATCACCTTCCACATAAAACCTTTCCTGGTCTCCTCAAATGCTGGTCCTCTCCTTCCCAAACTACCTTTGGATATTTGTTATTTATTCTCCTTTATATTCATTCTGTATATACTAATACACAAAATTGATTTCCCAATTAGAACACGCCCTGTGAGTTCAAATTGTTTCATTCTTTATACTTGTATTCCCAGTGCCTAGCACACAGCAGGTGCTTAATAAATGCTTGTTAATTATTTTCCAAGGCAAAAAATAACTCATTTTAGGTGTATATCCAAAGGCCACCTTTCCTTAGACTAACATGATGAGCACTCAATAAATTTTGTTGACATCTTTTACTGCCTGAAACTTCTACTATCAACTTCTCTTCCTCCTCTTCCCTTATGATGCTACTTCTATCCCCACACCAAGAGGAAAACAATGGGAGAGGAAGTGGCAGCTCTACAGTATTCCTAAGGAAAGGAGTTAGGGACATCAAGGGTACCTGCTCCTGACTCTCTCATAAGCTCTAGACCTGGACCTCAGACAGCCTACACAATACTGTCACCCAGGTGTCAAAAATCAAGATTCCTATCTTCCCTCAGCTAGCTCCTTTGAACACTTTTGGCACCAGGCTCCACCATTCATTCGGCCCCCCAAGTATGAACACTTAGGTGCAGTCTTCGACTCTTCCCAACCTCTCACAGCCAAATGACTAGCACACCCCATGACCTCCGCCTCTGCACGTCTCTGACATCAATCCCTCCTCTCTCTTCCTGGCAGCGCCAGTCCAACACAGGTCCTCACTACTACTGCCTCAACCAGAGTAAAGTCAGGTTTTCTAGCTCTTATCCACCTCAGATACGGCTACCAGATGAATCTCCTTATAGAGAGCTTCAGGCATGATACTCCACTCAAAAAATCCACAACCCTCCCTATTGTCTACCAAGCAAAATTCAAAATCACTGCCAGAAATTCAAGGCCATCCACAGTCAGACGCCAGCCGACCTTTCTAGCTTTATCATTTCCTGCCGCAGACTTCCTGAATACACCCTCCATGTCTTCATCTCTCTACAAGGGCTCATGCTGTTCTACTGTTAGAATGCCTTCCTTCTCCTCTCTTTACCTGTTGGACTCCTATCATATTTTTAAAGACCAGTTAGGAATTTTGTGTTGTGCCAAGTAATCTAGGACATAGTTCTACCACCTCAATAAATGAGAAGCACCTCCAAAATGCAACAAAATCAGCAATGTCAGAAAGGAAAAAATGAAAATAACAAAAAAAAACTTTGATTGTGAAAGCTTCTTGGAGTTATCTTTAAGAGTGTTCAAGGCTGAAATACAAAATTTTTTAACACTAATGTTAAAAATTGTTTTTAACATGTAATTGGGGGAAAATTTTTAAAAGAATGTCCCAGGGAGACTCCCCTCAACTTCTTTCTACCAGCATCCTCCTCAAGGTCAGCCTCTAGACTAATGAAAGTTAGTGGGAGGACAGAGTCCAAAAAAGTGGGAATGAAAAAAGGTAGAGACCAGAATCAACTACAGTGGTGTCTTGGAGTCTCCCTACAGCAAAAACCTTACAAGTCGCCCTAATGCATCAAGGGCCCTAGCTAGCTCTTGTCCAATATTGGTTATTTGGGAGAACAAGGAACAAGCTAGTGCTAAAGACTGGGCACAAAAGCACCAGGTCTATAAACGAGAAAGGACTCAGGGCAAGAAGCATGTAGAAAAGGTCAGAGGAATGTAGAAAATCAGGAGACATTGACAAAGACAGACAGCTTTATACAACGACGTCAGAGACATAGGAGGTGAGATGGCATTGTTACTTACTCTACTGGAGGAGTGTTGGGGGGGAAAGGGGGTTAGATCCTTCGGGAGATCAGCTTCTCCCAGACAGGGTTGTGGATCTCAGGAATAAATCTCTCTGCAGGGAGAGGGAAGAGGAGCAAGTATCTCAGAAACGTCTGGAGAGGGTGGTCATAGGTTCAAAGGATGAAGGCATGATACCAAAAAGAACAAGGACAAACAGCAAGGGGGAAATGGCAAAAGACAGGACTGCCACCATCCTCTTCTGCCTCCCCTACCCAGGCTACAGGGAACCTCCCACTGGTCTCCATCAAGAGTTAACACTGCTGGGAAGAGATCCCAGAGTGTGCTGGAAGGGGAAGGAAAACAAATGAGGTGTCATGAAAACAAAACTTACTGGAGAGGGCGTGAGCCTGACCAGTGAATATCACTGAAATAGAATGATGGATGGGCAGAAGAAAAAAGAGGTGCAGGCACTTTTTATCTGAGGTGGGAAAGGAGGGTAGAAGAGGTAGAGAAAGTGAAAATGAAAGAGACTACAAGATGGGGCAGCTAGGTGGTGCAGTGGATAGAGCAGTGACCCTGGAGTCAGGAAGACTTGAGTTCAAATCCGGGCTCAGACACGTAAAACTTACTAGCTGTGTGACTGTGGGCAAGTCCCTTAACCCCAACTGCCTCACCAAAAAAAATTAAAATTAAAAAAAAAAAGACTGCAAGAATAGAGATAGAAGTAAACTCTAAAATTTAGGATTGGACAGGGTAAGAAGTGAGAAGACAAATTAGGGGAGAAGATAGACCTTGATCATATTACTGAAAGCAAAACAAAGCACAGGGACCAACTAAAAAATAAGAAGCACAGTGGATAGAGCACCAGCCCTAAAGTCAGGAGGACCTGAGTTCAAATCCGGTCTCAGACCAAACACTTGATACTTTAGCTGTGTGACCCTGGGCAAGTCACTTAACCCCAACTGCCTAAAAAAAACAAAAACAAAAAAACAAGAGAAGGAATATATACACATCTATATGGCTTACATATATGTGTGTATATCAGCATATATATATACATATACATATATATCAGTACACACACCCATATACCTCATATATCAGCATACACATACACACACACACACACACACACACACACACACACACACACACACACACACACACAAATATATGCATATTTAGTGGAAGAAATCACAAACTTTACTATAATTACCTAGATACGAATGGATACAAGAAAGAAAATCGGAATGGATAAACAAAGCCCCAACATTTGCTGCATAAAAAAAACACTTTTTAAAAACAGAGAAATAAACAAAATGAAAAGGAAATAAAACAAAATCTAATATGCTTCAAGGGAATCTGAGAAATGCAGGAGTTACAATTATGACTTATAACAAAAGCTGATGTCAAGAGAGAGAAATCAGAAACTATGTTATGCTTATAGGAAATAAAGATAATGAAAAAATTATTAAATATATTTGCACCAAATGGCAGAGCATGTAAAAGAAAGATCAAGTAAACTGCAAAACGCAATAGACAGCAACATGATAACCAAAAACTTTATAACCTAGAAAAAATCTCAACAAATCAAACATAAAGCTTTTATAAATATGAGATTTTTATAAATATGAGATTTTATAAATTGAGATTTTTTCAGGATAAGATTTTAATAAAATTTTGGTTCTGGAATTAAATCTAAAAAGGTACAAATGCTACCTGCCCTGCCTCAGAGTTTGTTCTAAAAAATCAATTAAACCTATACATAAACCTATTATGTATAACATAAAAAAAAACAAAAACTTTTATAAGAGTATATAATCAACTACCTTCCTTCTGAGTAACCAGAAGCTGTTGAAGTATTTCCAAACTTGTGTAGTGTGGTACATGACACATGTTTTCAGACTTCAATGTCTGAGATGGCTTTTTCCTCTTTGTCTTTTTTGTTTTTAAAAATACTACTCAGGGGGCAGCTAGGTGGCATAGTGGATGGAGCACTGGTGCTGGAGTCAAGAGGACCTGAGTTCAAATCCAACCTCAGACACTTGACACTTACTAGCTGTGTGACTCTGGGTAAGTCACTTAACCCCAACTGCCTCACCAAAAAATATAAAATAAAATAAAATAAAATAAAATAAAAATACTATTTGTTATATATGGAATGGCTTTCTGGAAGAGGAGAGGTAGAGAGATGGGAGAAAATCATTGTGTATTAAAAAAAAACAAAAGCCATCAATAAAAATTTATTTTAAAACAACCAAAAAAAAAACCCTTCAATTGTTCTCTACTCACAATAAAACCTCAAAAAATGTGAAATTTATTCATAGATCCGAGGGCCTAGAAGACATGGCACATAAACATATACTGAAAAGCACATCGTGGTACAAAGAAAACCTGGGTTCTAAAAGACTAAACAAGCTTTAGCTGTAGCAAGTGCTATTGAGATGGAAAGGGGGGGGTGGGGGGTGTGTGTGTGTGTGTGTGTGTGTGTGTGTGTGTGTGTGTGCGCGCGTGCGTGTGTGCGCGCGCGCGCGCGCGCCTGGTGGTTGCTTTTTCCCTTCAAAAGGCAAGCCCAGCTGGGTAGAGAGCCTCACCAAAAATGTCAACCTTTTAGGTACTTTTAGAAAGATCCATGGCAATTTGTGAAACCGTTCAAGGCATGGAGAGGTTGAGATCTGCCACAGTGGGAGGAGTAACCAGACCTTTTTAAAGAGTCCCCATCAAATGAGGACCTCTCCAAGTGTGACTCACTTGAAAGAATTGAGATAGTTTTTATCATCACTTTTCAACAGGGTGAAGGTAGTTCTGTGCCTGCCACTCACCTGCCCGCCAGATGGCACTGCCCTTCTCTGCTGGTGGCGAGTCTCGTGTGCTTTGGAACACCATCGCATCTTCTAAAAACTCGATTTTCTTGCTGAATTGCACTTCCAAAATTTGGATAACCTCCGGCATCTTTGCCGACAATAGTCGATAGGCCGTGTCTGGCTTACCGATAAATCTCTGGCGTATACTGATTTCGTAAGGGGTATGAACTTTAATGTCATCTACATCTTCCCTTTCAAATCTATGCAAAAGTTGAGAATTAGAGTCACTGATTTCCAACCCAGAAACCAAGACAGTAAATCTTCCCGGTTTAGCGTGCAACTCGGTGCTTTGTGAAATAATTGCTGGAATTTTTATTATCACCCCTGATTTTCCAAATGCCTCAGAACTGGATACTGAGGTACTTTCCTTGGGTTTTGTTTCAGATGGGCTTTTCCAGAGTTTAGTACTAAAGGGCCACCAAGAAGGAGATTCAAGTTCTGTGAGCAACCTAAAGAGAAAAACAGCAACAAAACAAATGTTGAATAAACATAGTCAAATATTTTAAGAATGTGTTCTTACAGGCAATTCTGACTTAGAAGAAATTGAACGAAGTCAAATGTGCAAGAAAATACAGTGAGGGTTTTTTTGGCCCAATACTAGAGGTAGTGTGGTATAAAACAGAAAGAGCAAAAGTCTTCAGAGTCAGGAAGATTCCCAATCTAGCCCAACATTTATTGGCTGTGGATGATTAGAAAATCCCTTCCCCCTGAGCCTCTGTTTTCCTTAACTGTGAAAAGGATATACAATATATGAAACACCTACTTCACGGACTTCAGTATAGAAAGTAATTGGTAAACACTGTATCGATGAACTTTTAGTGGTCGTCAAACATACAATGAACACAGAAAATTCTACCAACTAAAATAAACTGTGACTTAGAATAAAATTTCAGACTGAGAAAGGTCCTCAGAGAGGAACTAGTCTAACGCCTTCATTTAGAGGAAACTGAGGCCCATTAGGAGATATTTCTTCAAAAAAAAAAAACAATAAGCAGTGAACTAATGAATGAAAGGAAGACCACAGTCACAGTTCTATCAAGAGACAAATCCAAGACTGGGTAGTACTGTGACCTTGGGTAAGTCACTTAACCTTGGTGTGAGGCTCTATACGCCCCAGTTTCTTCACATATAAAACAGGTCCAAATACCACCTGCCCTGCCTCAGAGTTTGTTCTAAAAATCAAATTCAAAGATGACACTGAAATAAAAACACTGAGCAGAAGGCATCAAGACTTCTCTTCTTACGCTGTCATACTCACTCCATCTATTCTTTCATCATAAAGATGATGTGGGACCATCCCACCATTCATCCTCTCCTCTCCTCTCCTCTCCTCACACACTAACGAATGTTTCTGAACAAAGTCACACACTATTCCTACTAGGTTCACTATAAGAATGTGATCTCATTTCAACTGCACAGCAACCCTTGCATTTTTCCCTGATTATCATACTATTCCCCCCCTCAGCAACCCTTCCAAACCTCCTCACATACCACCCCTTCTTCCCTCCCTGTCATCTCAGGGCTCCATGGAGACACTCCCCTACCCCACTTCTATCCTGCTCTACATCCCAACAACCCCTTTCGACATCATCCCGCATTCTCTCATTCCTTGCTCCAGTCTGATGAAAAGGGAGCCCACTCCCTGTCAAGACCCACCTCTCCACTAATGCTCCAGATGCCATATACTGAAGTCTCCTTTAGGAGCTTGCCCCCAATATCACTTCCTTTCTTCCTCTCACCTTCCATTTCTCCTTGGGCACTACACTGCTTCCTCCCGTTTCTTACAAACACGTCCAAACTCTCTCCCTCCCTTACTGATTTCACCAAGTTCCGTGGACTCAGTTGTCACCTCTATGCAGACGACTCCCAATCTGTATGACCAGCCCTAATCTCCCTCTTGAATTCTAGTCCTACATTGTCAATCATCTGCTATACATCTCCACTCTGAGATCCCCTTAGCATCTCAAACTGACCTCAAACAAGAGAACCCCTTCTACTTCCTCACTCCCCAGCCTAGCCCCCAATACATCCCTCCGACAAACTCTATTTCTTTTGAGAGCACCACCCATTCTAGTAACCGAGGCTTATGACCTATCACCTTTGAGTCTTCCCTCTCCCTTGTCCCCCTAACCTAGTGAGCTGAAAAATCTTGTCATTCTACCTCTAAGACATCTCTTAGCCACCTCCTTTTCTCCACGCACACAATCTTTACCCTTGTCTTTATCATCTCTCTCCTGGATTATTCTAATAGCCCTCCTACTTGACCTTCCTGCTTTTCTCTTCTCCAATCCATCTTGTACAGATCTGCCAAACTGATATCCCAAAACACAGATAGAACATCATTCCTTTAAAAGTTTTCAATGTCTCTCTATTGTCTTTAGGATAGAATACAACCTCCCACTCTCACCTCGCTATCCCCCACTGGCATTTGAAGTCCTTCACAATCTGGTTCCCATTTATGTTTCCAGTCTTATGTAATATTCCTCCTATTCATACACTCTGTATTCTGGCTAAAGTAGCCTGCTACATGTTCCCCTGACATTTCATTCGCTCTCCTGCCTTTGCACAGGTAGTCTTCCATATCTGAAAAGTACTTTCTTCTAATCTCCACCTTTTAGAACCCCAAACTTCCTTCAGAGTAGAACTACGTGCAACATCTTACTGAACAAAAGAACTTCCCTAATACACCCTACTCCACCAGTTATTAGCACTCTCCCTCATGAAATTAGTTTGAAAAACTGTCTATACTTATCTGCTCCATCTAGTGAGTGTTGTATCCCCCCAGTAGAATGTAAGCTCTTTGAGGGCAGGGTCTATTTTCATTTGTCTTTATAGTGCCAGTACCTAGCAGAATGTCTTATAAACAGTAGAGTCTTAATACAGACATACATACAAACATAAACACACAAACATATATCTGTATATACATACACACATATGCATATAGGGAGAGAAATACACATATACAGTCTATTCAATAATAAATAATAAAAGAGGCCCATCACAGTACTCCATTGCCTACTGGGAGATGATTACACTGGCTTCTCAGATGGGACCTTGTTGGCCCAGCAATTTTACCAGCCCTGAGGAGACCTTTTGGTATGGGGCAGGCAGGGTCCCCAGGCGGGGGTCTGGAACCAAGTTTCACTGAAACATGCTGATACCATTCTCTGGGAAGATCTGCTTCCAATTGCAAACAAAAGGTGGGTCATTTAAAATCAGTCTCCAACAATGTTTTAAAAATCTGGCAGTAAAAGACCATATGACCTTAGAAGGCAAATCTGTTCTTTTCTTTTGGAGAAATTCCCTCTCTGTTGTAATTAGAAGGCATGAGGATCCCTGGCAGGAATGTTACCTAAATCTAAAGAAAGAAAAAGGTAAAAACCCAGATGGACGAAGGAGTGGAGAAGGAACAACGTACCATGGTAGGGGTAATATCATTTTGACTTTCTTTACAACTAATCCCAGAATGGCAAATGTGAAATGGATTGCTAGAGATCTAGATGCTGCCCATCCACAGCTGGACGTGCAAATTCCTGACCTGCAAGATGGACAGTTTAGAAATCGAAGGAACCACTTCTACGATACAGCTGACTGCTGCTCATCACCACTGTACTGACTCTGTTCCTTGTCTTCTGTACTAACAAAAGTCCTTGCCAGGGAGATAATGGTAATGTTACTTTCCTTGGTGAAAAACCTTCTGGAAAAGGATGACACTTTAACTTATGAGATACAGATGGATGCTACTGTTCAGAGAATGCTGTTTATCAACAAATCAATGGTCATGCCATCCTAGTAATTCCAACAGATCAAACACTGTTCCCAAAGACAAACAGCGAAAGAACTACAAACCTGAGAATAGATATATGATAAAACACCCAAGTTGAGTATAAATACTTATGTTAATGTATTATAGGAAAAATTCTGGAATCAGACTATATTAATTAATATATTACTTATAATATATAATAAATTATATTAATTATGTAATTTAAAATTATATGAAACATCCTGCAATTACAGTATACATAGACATAAGAAAGGGAAGAACTATGATATTAAAGCAAAAGCACCTGATCACTGGTTGCCACTAGAAATGCTTGCCAAACTAAGTATGAACTTTATTGGCATTAAGTTTTGCCACTGTGAGACCACAATATTAGCAAATGTATTGCTTCAGGGGTGGGGAACCTGTGGCCTCGAGGCCACATGTGGCTTTCTAGATCCTTGGGTGTGGCCTTTTGACTGAGTAAGTCCAAGTTTTACAGAACAAATCCTTTTACTAAGGGGATTTGTTCTGTGAAGTTTAGATTCAGTCACAGGGCTGCACTTTAGGACCCAGAGGGCCAGACATGGCCTCAGGGCCACAGGTTCCCCACTCCTGGTAGAACATAGCCAAAAGACTATGAACTACGCAGCAAATGGCATCTCAGTACAGCAGCATTCTATCGTCTAATTCTGCATAGGATCAATCTTCCCAACTTAAAGTCATAATTTATATGCCCATCTGTGGTAGGTCAATTCTATTAAGTATGCTTTACCTGCACCATAGACACAAGAAGTAATAGAACTTCTTTCTGCCTACTAGGAATTTAAATACTGAAATAAAAATTCTCAGGGCAAGAAATTTAAGTATGAGGAAAAGATTAGGTGATCATCCTTTTGCGTGAGAGTAAGATCCAGTAGGTTAGTTCAGAAGTCATGTACTATACCTGTCAGCTACATCCATATCTGATTCAATCTTGTCCAGTCCTTTCATGATGTTATCAAATTGCTCACCCTGATGGTGAAGGACTTTTGCCGTATCTTCTAACCGTTTCTGGGAACAGGCCATTAAGCCTGTCAGTTCTTTACCCTTGGTCATCTGGGGAGAAGATGCCTGGGCTCCTGGGTGAGACAACAGCAACTCCCTCCAGAAATGCTCAATGATGTTGAAGACCACATTTCGGCTGGGCTGGAAGGAACTGAACCAGTGCTTAATGTGGTCCTTCTCTAGAATAGTGATAGAGCTGAAGATGAAGTGAGAGGATTCTTTTTTAATCTCACTGATGCTTGAAAGGGGGAAGCTGACCAGTAGTTCTCCATTCTTATCAGCCAAAAATTTTAGCAAAACAGAAGTCAATGAAAGCTTGCCAGGAATCCATCGTTTTTCAGGTTCCAAATAATAAGAACATGGCCATGTGTGGATGCAGATGTCTCTGTTCATCAGCTTGCTGGGCCTACTAGACACAAAAGGATCCAACTTTTTACCTTTAAATAGGAAGAGGAAAAAACAAATTAACAAGCCATATTCCCCCTTTGATAAGAAAGTCCCCACCACATGCAGAAATATTCGTAACAACACTTCTTGTGAAAGCCAAAAATTGGAATCAAAGTACATGCCCATCATTTGGGGAATGACCAAACAAATTGTGTGTGATCTTAAAGAGCCAAGGCTCTAGTTTGATAACAATTTACACCCATGAATCAACCAGAAAATAATATGACAGTAATTAATATAAGGCATACTACTGTGACGTGCAATACAAGTACTACAAGGATTCCAAGACAGATTCAATTCAATTCAATAAACATTCACCGAATGGCCACACACACACTGGGGGGCTACAAGCATTAGTTAAGATGTGGTCCCTGGTTTCATAAGAACATAGACCTAGAGCGAGAAGGGACCTTTGATGTCACCAAGTTCAACCACCTCATTTCAGAGAGGAGACAACTCAGAGACTCAGAGAGGTTGAGTGACTTGTCCGAGGTCACACGTGACATAAATGGCAGAGCCAGACTCCTACCTTCTTCCTCTCTGCCTGTGTTCTCCGTTCTTTCCACTGTGTGACTGCCTCCAATAACTTAAGGCCTAGAAAGGAGAAATCATACATTTATAAAAAACTACGATGCAAAATAATGCATGACAAGTACGAAGGAGAGATGAGAACAAAGAACTACGTGAGGTCTGTGCAGCAATTATTTTCACAGTGGTATCTTTCTCCAAAGGCTCCTCAACAGCTAATGATAGGTCTTCTTTACCTCTGACCCATCAAAAGACAGTCCTTAGGAGAGCAGGGCAGTTCGTGGGGACTCTCTGGGCCTTGGGATATTGCCCAAGTGTGATGGGCTTAAACTTGGTTTCTTTTAAGTCCCAAGGTACCAACTGGACCTAAGGTTACCAGAAAGCCCCAACAATGTCAATGCTGTCTGAAAATTGGTCCCCTGAATCAATCGCATCTCTAAGATAGCCTCCTTATCTTTTACAGAAAAAAATGACACAAATAAACTTACAAGATGGGGGGGAGGCAAGTTAGATACTGAGCCGCAACTTGTCTCATCTTCTGGTTTTGTCTATAGCAATATCAACATTGATGTGACTCAAGCTCGTTAATGCCTTGGTCATTAGACAAAAATCTCACTTTTAGAGTCTCTACAAACCACTGTTTATAGATGTTCTAAAAACAGTGATTCTTAGCAGCACTTGTCTCCTTTTTCACCACACCACACAGTCCTGAGGACTACATTTTTATTTGTTTCATGGGTGTCCATAGAAAACAAATTCTTTCCCTGGTAGGCTCTCCTCATTTAGCTTGGTTGGTTCTTGGACAGAAGATAGTCTATCACTGGGACTGTACCCAAGTTTTTCCAGTTTGGTAGAACATGTGTGAGCTTACCCTCCACTAGCACAGCCTTCAAGATTCCAAGATTAGCTTCAAGACATAATAAACATCAGAGTAAGATATTAAGAGAAACTTCTTTATTTCAGAAATGTTTGCAGATTAATCTTTTTTTTTTCACTGAGTGTGGATGGAAAATGGTCATCAACAATGCAAGGAAGGCACAGAAGAGATAAGAGATAAGTCAATTAAGCCACTCTTATAAGGAAAAGTGATCCCTATTGGTCAGATGCACCTAAATCTTCTTATCCAGAAAATATTCATCCATTCTTCCTATGCTTGGTTTTAGAGACTGTAGAGAGGAAAAGAGGGAAAGGGGGAGAGGGGGAGGGAGAGGAAGACGGCATGAGGAAAAAAGAGCCACTGAAACATTTCTCAATATTTAGGATATAAGAGAAGAAAGAATAAGCACCTGAAAAAATACAAAACACCAAAGAAGGAAAGCAATAGGCTATTTATGTAATAATACTACCACCAAAATGTATGCAATACCTTTCCTCCAAAAATCACAAAGGGCCAAACCAAACCAAAGCCTAGAAAGATGAAAACAATGAGGCAAATGTAAGGAAAATAAGTTTCACTGATCTCTTCTAATATAAGGAAATAGTTTTTTAAAAAAGTTACCTGAAAATCTTAACGAAAAACAAGATTTTTTTTTTTACATGTTGCCCCAACTATCTAACTCACTATACCTCCTTGAACTTAGCCCTTAGGTCAGGACTGCACAACCTATGGTGGGCAGGCACACCAAAGGATTTCAGACAGCCCACAAAAAATGTAGAGGATGCTTTCCTAAGGCCTGCCTTAGATCTTCACTGGTATAAAGTGCAACACAAATTTTCCAAGGATAAGTAAGTTCAGAGAGATCTTGGAATTGAAGAATTTTATTGTCAAAAAGGGACTTTGAGAGACTTTAGTCAAACCTCTTTCCTTCACAGGTGAGCAAATTGAAAGCAAAAAGGTAAAATAGCTTTCTGTACCACTACAATCTGTCAGTGGCTCCAAACTCCTAGTTCAGGGCTCATTCCCCTACACTGTGCCACCTAATGGGAAAGTTAACAAAATAGAGCCGTGGATTAAAAGACAGTGAAATGACTATTTCCCACTTGCTTCAAACTGGAGAGAGATTTCAAGCTCCTATTCGGTGACCCAGCAAAAGAAGAGGTGAAGAATTTGGAGGCAGGTTACAGAAGAGAAAGAAGAATAAGGCAACTAAGGAAGGATCATGTGCCAAATACTCTGTGCATCATCCAGCACTCTACAGCTGGTTATAATTTATAGGAAATCCTTTTAATGAGGAAAAGTGACAATGTGGTATTTTATCTGTAATGCAGTGTAATTTATATGATGCCCACTTGCATCACAGTTCCATCACACTTGTGCCTCCTGGGTAAGACAAAAATAGTAAGAAATCAGTCTTCCTATTCAAGAATTTCTAAAATGGCCACATAGCAAGCAATATGCTATATTCTCCCACATTTAAGAAATCTGTTATTCTGCAAATGTGTGTTAACTCCCTCAAGAAGTACAAACAGCAACCCCTCCAAAGTTTCAGACTGTCTTCATGAGTTGTTACAGAAAAAAAAAAATTTAAAATTTTTCACCTAGTAGTCACTTTCTGGTGATAGGAACTTGGCTAGAGTGGTCCTCTCACAATAGATACCCAGTTTCCAAGCTCATACACAAAGCCTCTCCAGCTTGACAGAGCCACCAGGACTTATACTTACAAATCCTCTGCAGTTGTTTTCAAGACCCCAGAGTCACCACAGTAAAGCACTAGATGACAGCTTTAGCCCAAGAACATATTATGTTCTTTCAAATAATTTACAACCAAAACATGACAAAACACAGCACTGACCTAGACTTTATAATTATTTGCTGATACAATTTGGAGGAAGATGGAGGTGTTCTTATCAGAATTCTTCCATCAGGTTTTAATTTCAATAGAACAATGGCTGAAATGTTTTGCAACAAGCTGCTGTTTATTGGGTTTTGTTTTTCCCCATTACCTGTACCTCCTGCTCCTTCCCTTCCTTCTTACATTCCTCCCATACATTTCCTTAAATAGGTCTCATTTTAGACCTTATCCTGGTGTCAACCTTCCATTTCTTGGTATTGTTTCTGCAGGAGTGAATCAGAAAGAGTAAAGTTGGAGCCAAAGGATCCAGGTTCAAATCTTGCCTCTAAAAACTTACTACCTTAAAAAAAAAAAAACTTAGTACCTGTGTGACTTCTGGCAAGTATTCTAACCTCTCTGAGCCTCATTTCTCCATCTACTAAAAAAAAGGGGGGTGGGTAATAGAGAAACACAAGTTTTCCCAATAAGATCAAGGCTAAAACAAAGATGGCCAATGTCACCAATATTATTTGCTAGAAATGCTAAATATTACAATAAAACAAGATAAAGAGATTGAGGAAACAAATACAGGCACATATAAATAAAACTGTTACTATTTTCAGGTGCTATGATAGTTTACTTTGATAACCCATGAAATTTAACTAAATACAAATTTTACTTATTTAAAACAGCAACTTCAGATAGTATCAGGATATAAAATAAAATTCATGAAAATCATTAGCCTCTACATAAAATCCAACAGGAGAAAATTCCATTCAAAATATCTATAAGATACGAAAAATATCTGGGAGTTAACCTACCAAGATATAGTCAACACTTACATGAATATAATTAAATTACTGTTTACAAAAATAAAGAAAGAAAAACAATTGGAGATATTAATTGTTGATAGTTGTACTGTGACAAAATAATTAAAATGATGACACAACCTAAATTAATGTACAGATTTAGAATCATACCAAACTATCAAAAGGTTACTTTACAGAACTAGAAAAAATAATAACAAAATTCATCTAATGGAACAAGACTTCAAGTATCTGAAGGGAGACAATGAAAAAAAGTGAGAATGAAGGAACCTAGCAGTATCAAATCTCAAACTATACTATAAAGCAGGAATTATCAAAACTATTTGGCACTGGCTAAAAAAAAATAGAAAAGTTGATCAATGGAACAGATTAAGCAAACAAGACTCATAAGCACTCAAACAAACTGTGTGATAAATCCAGGGACAATGGATAATTGGGTTAAAGACAATTCAACCAAAACTACATGGAAAATTGGATAACAATCTAACAGAAATTAGACTTAAACCAGTATCTTCTATATCATAAGTTCCAAACTGATATATGATCTAAATATAATATAAACATAAAAGGGTCATATTATTAAAAAAAAACTAGAGGAATTAATGGATACAAATAGGGCAATTGTTACTAAGTTATTTTAAATATACTTTTAAAAAACAAAACTATGTACAGAATTTGATGGTGTTATAATCTTTTGTTCTTTCTCCTTAATTGAAATGTTCATAGTAGTTGGTTAAATTTATAACAAAAGTTAAAAAAGTAAATAAATTCTCTTTTTAGGAGTAGAGGAGATGACCTTCAAGGGGCTGGATTCTGTGACCTCTAAAGTCCCTCTCAATAGTAAATCAATGATCCTATGAAGTCTAATATAGTTTCCAAGAAAAAGTGGCAATCTCACCTTTCTCAAGGTTAGTGGCTGGACTATGGACCAACTACCTTTAAGAAAACAATCAATAAACATTTATTAAGCACATCTACTATGCAACAGGCACTGTGCTGCTAAGTACTGGAAACAGAAATGTTTCCTTAATGAAAACCTCTCTGTTCACCTGGATACCAGGTTTCCTTGAAGTTCTGGGAGCCCAGGCATTATGCTCCACACCTGTGTAACCTTGGGTAAATTTCTCTAGGCTTCACCTACCCAGAATCACATTAGCCTTTATACAGAAAAAAAAGCTCTTACCTGCTATATGCCAGGCCTTAAAGCCAGGTGCTTTTTTTTTTTTTTATCCTCTCCTATCTGCCTCACTATTCTGACATAACCTACAGTTATTACGGTTCCATCAGACTCAACACAAAGAATCCCTCACTGAATCAGTCCAACATGATAGGAAAAATGTTGCTATACGGGATGGCACACTACCTAAATCTACCTTCCACAGTCTCAACATGATGTCTCCATCCCCCCCCCCCTGCCAAGTTCTCTCCCACTTTATCTCCACCTCAACCCCCTCTCCTCTACTCTCGATCTAGAATCCGCCTCCTAATTTACCCTCACCCCTCATGCCTCCTTCCTCACTATAATCCTCTACCACCTCCTACATCGTCCAATACTGCTCTACCCCCTGGCTCCAAGTCTTCCCTCTCTACCTCTACACACCTAAACTGTCCAAATACCTGCCAACATCTCCATTCCCCCACTTCCACCAGGAACCCCCTCCTCCAATTCCTTTCTCTCTTTCCCCTCCCAAACCCTCAATACAGGGCCTCCTCTCTCTAGGTTTAAAGGAAGAAGGGAATGAGGGAGTGGCGGAAAAGAGTAGGTGGAAGGGCAGGGGGTGCCTAGAGTAAGAGAAAAGGTGGAACAGATGGTGGGTGCTCTTTCTTCCCCCCACTCCCCCCATCACTCGCACTCGCTGGGTGACAGTGGGCTGCCCCGTCACTCCCACATCTACCCCCGTTGCCTGGGGCGAGGGGGAAAATGTTCCATCACCATAGCAACGCGGGGGGAGGGCGGGAGCGAGGCCACGGAACGACGTACGTACCGAAGGTTGGATGGAAGGCAGAAGGAAGAGACGTCCGAAGCAGGGGGTGCCACCAAACGTCTCGAAGTCTGCGCGGACTGTAAAGGGTGCAGGTTAAATACAGTCCAGGGCTGCTTCGGGTGACGAATCGTCTGCAAACGAGCCGGGAGGATACCTGTTGTTGTTGTCGTCGCCAGGCGCGCTTCCGGTCCAGAGCACGCCGCCGCCGGCAGGGGGCGGAGTCAGAGCGCAGAGCGCGTACGCACGCGGCCAAATCCGAGCGCCTGGAGCGCGGAAGCTGCAGTATCCCTGCCCTTCGGCGTCGCGCTAGATTTTACGTCACACACCCAGGCTTCAAAGTTCCTAGGTGGCTTCCCTCCTCTCCCGACCCGTACTAGCCCAGATCGGAAGTGGCGCAGCTGGAGGGGCGGAGTCAGAAGGCGGTCTTGCGCAGGCGCGGGAAGCCTGACCGCAGTGCGAGGTGCCAGGTGATCACCCTGTGTTCTCTCTCTGTTGTGGCGGTGCTCTCTTAGAAGGTACCGGCGTTGCAATCAGAACCGCCGCGCCTGGAGGAAACTTTTTTAATTTTTGTAAGTAGAAGCAAACATGTGTAGAGCAAGAGCTAGGGCCTGGAGTCCCGAATCCCCGGTTCGAATCCCAGCCTTGCCCATCACTTGCTGTGAAACCTCCAGCGAGTCTCACCCCCTCTCTGGGCCTTTGGTCGTTTTTTGTTTGTTTGTTTTGTAATAACGCGTTTGGACTGGGTGATGTCAGATAGTAAACACTTATTAATCGCCTAGTGTGTGCCAGGCCCCGGGCGAAGCGCTGGGGATACAAAGAAATGTACGAGATGGGCCCTGCTCTCGGCCTGTTGGGGGTGGGGGATGGAGGGAGAGACAACATGCAATCAGCTACGTATGAAGGAGCTACGTCCCCCCAGGGCTGAAGTTCAGAGACGCTGTTGACTTGTTTCCTCTGTCCTTCCTCCTCCTCTCCTAGGTTCCTGCTAGGTCATTGCAGCGAGTTCCTCATGACGACCCGCCTTGGGTCCCCAGCAAGAGCCTCCTGGTTTCCCGTCCTTCCTGCTTATGCTTTGGAAACATCCTTTGTTTGTGGGAATACTTATGCACCATTTAAAGCATTGCAAGCCTCCCCTTAGCCAGAAGGGTCCAGAAATCTGGCTGGAAACAATTTCCCCAGAGTGTTGAGCCTGGTAGAGAAATGAAAGCTGGAATGGCCTCTTGGTCAAACAGGAACTAGCCTCACACCTGGTGTGCCCAGGTGGTGTCTAGGTCGAAATGGATTGGGAAACCTATGTATATGCCAGCAAGTTTTTTGGCAGACAGAGACCACCACTGGCCTATGAGAGGTTTTGCCAACCCCATGCCAGTGTGGACTATATCAAGGCAGAATCTTTCACTTACTTGGACTTTTTCAAAGGCTACCTGCTCCCAAATGTCCCCTGTGTTTTCTCTTCTGCCTTCACCACGGGCTGGGAAAGCAGAAAGTACTGGGTGACCCAGGATGGGAAACCTAACTTTGATCACCTTCTTTGGAATTTTGGTAAGCATTTCAGCCAGAAGTGGTTCCGTGTAAGGGGCAAACGCTGATGGGTATTGTTATCCTTAGAGGAAAACACCTTCAACAGTCAGTTAACAAGTCCCTGCTGTCACGGACACAAGATCTGGGAGTGTAGACAAGACTTTCCTAAGGACACACAACACAAAGGAAGCGAGACACACAGAGGGAGCCCCTTCGTTAAAAAGAGGCTCACAGGCCTGCTTTCTGGTGACTGGACCATAGATTTAGAGCTGTAAGGGAGTGCCTATAGAGATTGTGACTTGCCCAAGGTCTCAAGGTAGTACCTGACAGGGCTAGGATTAGAACCTAGGTCCCCTGACTGCCAAGTCCAGGGGCCTTTCCACTTCCTTGAGACAATCAGCTCTGCAATCTCAGGAGATGAAGCCAGTCTATAATAGCAGCTCAGTGGCTTTAATTTACTAGCTACTTTTTAATGATATAGTCAAGATCTGATTTATGTGTTTCTCAGTTTTCTTAAAGCAGGGTCTAGATGTACTCTGAGGAATTACCCAATAGAATATAAGTGATCTAGAGCAGGGGGAATCTTCAACCTCGAGGCCACATGTGGCCTCGGTCCTTGGGTGCAGCCTTTTGACTGAGTCCAAGTTTTACAGAACAAATCCTTTTTATATTTTTTTATTTTTATTTATTTTTTTTTTTGCTGAGACAATCAGGCTTAGGTGACTTGCCCAGGGTCACACAGCTAGTGGCAAGTGTCTAAGGCTGAATTTGAACTCAGGTCCTCCTGACTCCAAAGCTGAAACTCTATCCACTGCGCCACCTAGCTGCCTTAACAAATACTTTTGTTAAGGGGATTTGTTCTGTGAAGTTTGGATTCAGTCAAAGGGTAATACTTGAGGACCTAGAGGGCCATGTGTGGCCTTCACTCCACAGGTGCCCCACCCATGATGTAGTCCTTACTTTCAGAGAATTTACAGGATGATTTTTGAGGAAAGGACACAAGCAAATGGCCAAAAAAAAGGAATAAAATGAATGTGAAATAAAACATAGAGTGTTGAAAGCTTGTAACTCAAAAAATAAACCTAAAATATATATATAATATATAAAACCTTATAAGTCAAAAATAAAAATAAAAAATAAATTCACTCACTGCTGAACATAGGTAGGGAGTCATTCCATCAAAGGAACGTAAAATGAGATCAATACAGCTTAAGTTTTTATAGCACTTTACGTGCTTTCACATCCATTGTTCCTCTTAAGCCTCACTACGTTGAGGATAAGGTAGGCCTAGCAAGTAGTGTATTCATCTCATAGATGAGGAAACCAAAGTTCAAAGTGATTTATCTAAGGTAACATAGCTACTTGTGCAGTAGCATATCTGAGGTAACTTAATGAGATTCATACCCCTGCATTTGATCTCCTGGGGCTAGTGTTACACCATCCCACACTACACTCATTTACCTGCCACCATTCCTCTCTTCCAGTCTTCCCACATTGACTAAGTGATCCTGGGTAAGTCACTTAATCCCTAGGAGCCCCAAGCAACTCTCAGACTAGACCTTTATGGAGTAGTTCTTTGAGTTCCATATACCAGTGAAATCACAAATCTGATTTTAAAAAAAAGTCCTCCCCATAACCTGTTGAAATCCAGCTGTGCTTTTTATTATCTCAGAGTTGGTGTAGTTGCTAGCTGTGTACTCTTAAGATCCTGAGTGACTAATATAAATAAAAGGTAATATATTAGTTTACATGTGTTTGTCTTTTCTCCCTAATTATATCCTAGGGCTAGGCTCTTTCAGTACAGGGACCATGTGTTAATGTAGTAATTAAAGTGCTGGGCCCGTAGGAGCAACAAGGAGGTTCCAAAGTCCGGAGTGTCCAGAGGATCGTAGATTTATTCATTTTTGATAGGGTCATGGGGGAAGTTCTTGAACAGCCTTTAGTAGGGAGGAAACATTTATTGAGCATTTACTGTGTACCAGACACTGCCCTACAGGCTTTACAAATATTTTCTCATTTTATCCACTCAGCAACCCTGGGAAGTAAGTGCAGTTATTATCCCAATTTTACAGTTGAGGAAACTTGAGGCAGACAGGTGTTAAGTGACTGGCCCAGAGTCATGCAGCTAGTAACTGCCTGAGGTGGGATTTGAGTATGGGTCTTCCTTACATGCTCTGTCCTGGACTCTGTGTAACTGCCTATCTTCTAGTAGGAAGACAGAAGAGGGGCAAAGGCACTCTGGAGGAGAGTGGGAAGGGCTGAGGAGGTAGGAGCAGCTAAGATGCCAAGAGTTTTTCTCAGCTAGTGCTCTCCTCCAGCAAGCTGGTAAGAAGGATCTCTGTTTGTTTCAGGAGATGCAGTAGTTCCTGTCGCAAACTGCAATGTCCAGGAATACAACTCTAATCCAAAAGAACAGATCCCACTGAGGGAGTACATAAACTACTGGAAAGAATACATCCAGGGCAACTACTCTTCTCCCAAGGGATGTCTCTACCTCAAGGACTGGCATCTGTGTAGGTAAAAGGCATAGCTTGTCCCTAAACTACCAAGTAGTGACTTGACCTTTGTCAGTTTTCTAAAAATGGATAAATCCAGTTCACCAAGCATTTATTCAGCACCAGAAATCGACTGTGATGGGAAAGCAAAAGGCATGAGTAGAATTTAACGAAGATAAATAAGGTAATTTGAGGAGTGAGAGAGAGAGCAGTAATAACTAAAGGAAGGCTTTTCTCATGAAATGGCACCTGACCTCAGCCTGAAAGGGAGATTAGGGAGGAGGCCTTCATGGTGTGGCCATGTACTCTCAGAGTGTGACCCTAGTATCTGAAGGAAGTCTGCCAGTGAACTGGTAAACATTTGAATTAAAATGGGAATCATCTCCTCCCTTATCCCTATCATTGATATTGTCCATAGAGGAAATCTCAGATCATATTTAGCTGTAATCGGAACACCTGATTAAGCCTCAGTTTGTATATTGATAAATTTATCTCCAAAGTAGAGGAAGTGATGAGAGAAATTTATTCATGTGGACCTTTAAAGTTGAGGGCATTGACTAGGTAAGTTCCTTCCTGCTCCGACGTTACATGATTCATTGAAGCCCAAGATGAAGGGAAGTGATAATAAGAGAAAACACCTGACTGTCCCAAATGACCCTGATGAATTGTACCCTAAACTATTGAAACAACTGGAGCTGTCATGGAAGAACTACGTAAATGTAACGAGATGACTAAAAGTCACTCTGACACAGCGTGTGCTAAGTGCCAATTTAAACAGTCTAGGAACAGCATTTCTTGCCTTCTCAGTGGGTGAGGGAGGGGCAGGAGAGGGAGAGAATTTGAAACTCAAATTTTTTAAAAAATGAATGCTCAAAAATAAATAGGTTTAAAATAAAAGAAACATTATGTACAATAGAAGTTCAGAGGAGACAGATTTCAGAAGAGGCTTAAGTGGTCCAATAAGAATTCATGAGTTCCATTTGTCAAAATCTTTTAAGGCTCAGTTCAAATGCCAGTTCTGTGAAACCTTCCCTGTTGCCAGTGGCCTTAGATGATCACACCCAGAGCACTTTCTATCTGTCTCATAACACTTTACCTTCTGCTTGTAATATTGTTTGTGTTCAGCTCTCCCTACTAGACTGACCTGCCGTATCTTATTCATCTCTATGCCTTATACTACTTACTTTAGTGCTGTGCATATAAATCATGCTCAGTCGATGTTTGATGAACAAATTAATGAATTAATATACTAAAAGGTAGAATACTCCAGACACGTCAGACACTGAGCAGAGAGATGGTAATGGGTATGCTAGGTTTGAATACATTAGACTAGCTGAGGCAGAGGGTGAGGGAGGTGGATTAAGACCAGGTGTTGTACTTACCAGGTGTTGTTGGCCTTCTGTACATTTCTGTACAGAAGTCGTACAATTACTCTTCTTGCAATGGGGAGCCATTAGGGTTTTTGAGCAAGAGAGTGTTGACAGAAATAGTGATTTTCTACAGTAATGTTAAAAAGTAGAGAAAAGGTCTGGGTGATCATTTTAACCTTGTCTACCAAGCATATTTATAGCAGAAGACATCATGTTGAATTATAATACCTATGCAAGTGTTGTATATACAGTTATATTCAAATCACTTACTAAGCCATCTGCCTTTACCAGAGCAGTAAAGATTGAAAGGGAGTGAAAAGGAGAAAATGAGCGATTGGGCATACTCCTTGCTCCCCACTGCTCCTCACACTGTCTTTCAGTAGCCTCCCTTCTTTTGAGGGTCTGTCCATCTGTCTCTGTTGACTTGCCTAGATTCTTGTCACATGCTGGTCTACAGCAGATGATTCTCTTTTTTTTCTTTTCTTTTTTTTTGTTTGCAAAGTGTTCTTTAGAAATAATGAGCTAGGTACAAAACACAGTCTTGATTCAGAATTGCAAAATGTCCATGTGAAGGGGCAGCTAGGTGGCGCAGTGGATAGAGCTCCCGCCTTGGAGTCAGAAGGACCTGAGTTCAAATCCAGCCTCAGACGCTTCAGACGCTTGACATTTATTAGCTGGATGACCCTGCGAAAGTCACTTAACCCCAACTGCCTCACCAAAATAAAAAAAAAAATTGTCCATGTGAGAGACAGGCATTAGACGCCATCTAGTCCAACTCTCTCTCATTTTGCAGATAAGGAAACTGAGGCATTTCTCCAGCTTTACATAGTTCATTGCCAAGCTGAGACTAGAATCTAGGTTTTCTGATTATTCAGTGTTCTTTCTACTCTACCATACTGCCCTCTGTGAATCAACTTATATTGTAGAATTCCAATCCATGCCCAAGTCAACTGGTTCTTGCTAACAGAAAGTTACAATTGGTATCTATACTGTCAATCAACAAGCATTTATTAAGCACCGGCTGTGTGAAAAGTAAGCAACATGGTGTAGGTGCTAGAGACAACCTCAGGATCCCAAGGGTTCAAGTCCTAACACATACTGGCTGTGTAACCCTGGGCAGCTTAGCCTCTTGGTGCTCCAGACCAATCTCTTAAAGCTGTAATTGGCAGAGAAGGTGCTGATCTGCATGGGTAGAGGGAGGTTACTCGTCTGAGAGTTCCTGATACCAGTTAAATCACAGGTCCCCAAGGGGCAGTGGGCTACTTTTCTTCTAAGGGTTCTAGGTTAGATGAGATGATTCTCTAGAGGTAGAGTTTAGGAGCCCTGACCGTGCTTCCCCCATTGATTATCAGTTAAGAGGACAAAAGACGAAGGGACAGAGAGTTCTCTGTCCTTGCACAGGAACAGAAATTAAATTGCCCCTGCCTTCAGAAAGTTTATATTCCGTTGGAGAAATAACATGCCTACAAAGTAATTTGGAGGACAGAGGATGCACTAGCCCCTGGGGCGTCCATGTAGGAGGTGCTACTTGAGCTGAACCTGAAGGAAACTGGGGATTCTAACTAGTGGAAGTGAGGAAGGAGTATATTCCAGGAACCATGGGGGACCGTAGGGGTTGAAGAGGGCGTGGCATGTGTGGGAAACAACGAGGCCAATCTGGCTAGACCAGCATGTGTGAAGGGGAGGCATGTGTAACAGGAACCTACAAAAGTCGATTGGAGCCAGCTTGTGAAGGGCTTTCAATGCCAACCGAGAGTTTGTATTTATATTGATCCAGGGAGTGATGTGGTCAGACATGGTCTGTGTTTTAGGAATCTCACTTTGGCAGCCAAGAGGAGGTGTCTTTGGAGAAAGGAGAACCTGGAGGCAGGAGGCCAATGTGGAGCCCATCACAGTACTCTAGTAAGAGGTGATGGCGGCATGGTGGCTGTATGAGAGGATGTGTCAGAGACGCAGTCAAGGCGTGAGAAAGAAGGGGGGTCGAGGACAGCGCTTGCATTTAGGAAAATGTATCCAAATAAAGAAGATGGGCACCAGAGCCTGTAGAACTGCATGGGGCAACCTCCTCGAATGTTTTCTCTCACCCTATCTTTTCTTTTTTAAGGAGTTTCCCAGATCAACACATCTACACCACACCTGTATATTTCTCATCTGATTGGCTGAACGAGTACTGGGATGAACTGGCAGTGGATGATTATCGTTTTGTTTACATGGGGCCAAAAGGATCGTGGTAAAGCTGTGTTTGGGACTCTTTGGGTGGTGGTGGGTGCGAGGGGTGTCTTCAGCTCTATGGGGTGCTTCAGGCTCTGCTCTCTCCAGTCTATTCTGCACACTCCTGCCAGGCTCATGGGTTGCCATGGCCACAGTGAGCCTCTTGGCTCCTTGCTAGGCTGGTCCTCTGAAAGCAGACACTGTGACTCCAGGCCTGTAGTGCAGGCCTTCCCAATGTGATAGCACCTGCTAGAGCCTGGGCTGTGCTGGGGTAGCCTTTATGACCCGAGATCACTTCAGTGCCCCAGGGAGACATCTTTGCTACAATACTGCTTTTCACCATCACTTTCCTCATCAGTAAGTTTCTTTTTTTTTTTTAATTTTTTTTTCTTATTTTTAACAAGTGTTTTTAAAACTTTGGGTTACAAATTTTCTTCCTTCCTGCCTCCCCACCCACCCTCATTGAAAAGGCAAGCAACTCAATATACGTTATACATGTGCAGTTTTGCAAAACACTTCCATAGTAGTCATGTTGTGGAAAAGCTCAGTATATTTCCCTTCATCCTATCCTACCCCCATTTATTCTACTCTCTCTTTTGACCCTGTCTCTCCTCAGAAGTGTTTGCTTTTGATTATTCCCTCCCTCAATCTGCCCTCCCTTCTATCAACCCCCGTTCTCTTGTCCCCTTTCCCCCTTATTTTCCTGTAGGGTAAGATAGATTTCCATACCCCATTGTGTATGTTATTCCCTCCTTAAGCCAAATTCTATGAGAATAAGATTCACTCATTCCCTCTCACCTTCCCGCATTTCCCCTCCACAGTAAAAGCCTTTTCTTGTCTTTTTCATGTGAGATATTTTACCTCATTCTACTTCTCTCGTTCTCCTTCTCCCAGTATAATCTTCTCCCACCCCTTAATTTTATTTTCCAGATATCACTGCTCCATCTTCAACTCACCCTGTCTCCTCTATCTATCTATCTATACAAACATAATTTTTTCCCTCCCACTACCCTAATACTGACAAAGGACTCATGAGTTACAAATATCATCTTTCCATGTAGGAATGTAAACAGTTCAACCTTAATAAGTCTCTTATGATTTCTCTTTCCTGTTTATCTCTTCCGTGTTTCACTTGAGTCTTGTATTTGAAGGTCAAATTTTCTATTCAGCTCTGGTCTTTTCCACAGGAATGCTTGAAAGACCCCTATTTCATTGAATGACCATTTTTTACCCTGAAGGATTATACTCAGTTTTGCTGGGTAAGTGATTCTAGGTTGTAGTCCTATCTCCTTTGCCCTCTGGAATATCATACTCCATACCCTTCGGACCCTTAATGTAGAAGCTGCTAAATCTTGTGTTATCCTGATTGTGTTTCCACAATACTTGAATTGTTTCCTTCTGGCTGCTTGCAATATCTTCTCCTTGACCTGGGAATTCTGGAATTTGGCTACAACATTCCTAGGAGTTTTCCTTTGGGGATCTCTTTCAGGAGGTGATCAGTGGATTCTTTCAATTTCTATTTTGCCCTCTGGTTCTAAAATATCAGGGCAGTTTTGCTTGATAATTTCTTGAAAGATGATGTTCTAGGCTCCTTTTTTGATCATGGCTTTCAGATAGTCCAATAATTTTTTAAGTTCTCTCTCCTGGATCTGTTTTCCAGGTCAGTTGTTTTTCCAATGAGATATTTCACCTTCTTTTCTATTTTTTTCATTCCTTTTGATTAGTGTTACCTCATCAGTAAGTTTCAATGGCTTCCTCATAGCTGTGAAATAAATGCCTTATTCTTTATGTCAACATTTTCCTGTCCTCTATAATGTTAGGAACCTACTTTTCTCTCCTTTCCTCCCAGAGTTCCCTGGTACAAATCCTCTACTCTATCTAGGCTGATTTCCTTCTGAACATTTGTGGTTTCCTACCTTGATGCCTCTGCTCATATCATTGGCCATTTCCCCTGTTTTCTAGTGTGCCTTCTCTAGCCTTTCTACTTTGCCTAGATCCTAAGCATCCTATATCCCTGGTCCCTGAAGGATTTGGTCCTGGTCCTTGGGAATCATTGATCTGCAGGTACTTAGGACCCCAGCTCCTCCCCCTCTCACAGCCAGTCCAAAGGTCATTGTCTTTAGGCCCAGAGCTCTGTCACCTTGTACACCTTACTAAAATTGCCGATTCCTGGCCTCTAACTTAAGTGATTGTGGTTTCCCAAGTCCAAAGATCTAGTATATCCAATATATATTTACATACCCTCCACCCTCTATTTCTGACATTGCTACCATTGTACAGCACAGGTCCTGCCTTCTTCGCATCTGCTTCTCTCTTTTTTTCCTCCTCTCATTTCCATTCCAAACCATAAGAGTATGTTTTGGAAGGATATTGAAAAGGAAAAGCAGAATCTACAATTATACACAAATTCAGAAAATAATTCAGAATTACCTTATAAGGTAAGTGCATATGAAAAAAATCTACCCCAGACTAGGTAGGCTGAATTTTATTTAGTTAATCAATCTATACTGAAATCCCCTCAGACCTAAGTTTGACCATCATGTACCCTTCTCATCCATGAGAGGCAATCACGGCAGCTCTTTCTTTCCTGAGTCCAGAGAAGAGTGGCCACTACTCTTTAGAACATCCCTAAGCTCAATTTGGGATTCACCCACCTGTCAAGTGCTGCAAGTTTGGATCTAAGGACCAAATGTGTAGGTCTATTCTTAACTATGCTGGTCCACTAATTAATTTTTCTGTGGTTTTTTTAAATCTAGTATCAGATGGTTTTGGTAATAACCTCTTTATTAATGTAATTTGAGGTCTAACAATCCAAATTCCCCCTTTTGCCCCCATAATCCTTTTCTTATTCTTGCCTATTTTTCCTCAGTATAGATTTTATCACTTGACCTAAGAAGGGAGCAGAAGCTAAATAAAAGACTGAAAGAACTATTCAAGTAACAATTGTAACAGTAAATGGAAAAGATTATCAATAAAATTAGAACTTTTTTTGCAGGCTACTGATAATAACAGGTCACAAAGTGCTTTAAGGTTTACAAAGTACTTTTCTCACAACCTGCTCTGTAGACAGTGTATCAGCCCCATTTTACAGGTGAGGAAACTGAAAATCAGAGAAGATATATGACTTACTGCAGGTCACACAGGTAGTGTTGGAGACACAACCCACATATAGGTATTTTTCTCCTACCAATGTTCACAGATTTTGAAGGATCGTCAGTATTACCTTGACACATGTGGTGGAAAGATTGGTTAAGGTTTTATGGATATGAAAGATGGGACTAAACTTTCCGTGTTTTGTGTCACAGGGATTTTTTAACTGAATTAAAATTCATTGTGCAGCTCCTTGGTTCACTCCACAGGACCCCGTTCCACGCCGATGTCTTCCGCTCCTATAGCTGGTCGGTCAACGTCTGTGGAAGGAAGAGGTGGCTGCTCTACCCCCCAGGGCAAGAAGAGAGCCTTCGGGATCATCATGGGAACCTGCCCTACGATGTTACTTCGTCTGCCCTCCTTGACATCAAAGTGCACCCAGAGTACCCCAAATGCTGTCCACCCATTGAAATCATCCAGGAAGCAGGGGAAATGATCTTTGTCCCCAGCGGGTGGCACCATCAGGTTTACAATCTGGTAGGATCCTTAACCTTCTCTTTTAAGCTTCCCTTTATTCTCTTTCCTCATGGTAAAAATGATCTCTTCCACCCCAGATATCTCCTAACACCTTATCTGGACTTCTCTTTTACACTTATGACACTCTGTCTTAGCACTGGACCTGGAGCTAGGAAGAGCTGAGTTCAAATTCAGCCTCGGACTTTAATT